GTGGGATCTTTAACTGTGACAGTGAGGCCCCCCCTGGCCCCGCACTGGGGGTCTCCATCAGATGGTTTGGGGAAGAAACATGAAACATGTTATGTGTAAGTGCTGTAATGTCCCCCTCCCCTCCCCCTCCTCACAGCCGCTCCTTATTCACCCCAACATGGTGCAGGTCAGAGAGGAGCTCCCATTCCCTTCCCTCCTCACTTGCCTCCAATTCTCAGCGTTTAAACCACAAACTGGGAATAAACTGACTGCAGAGCTCCCGCTTTACTACTGACACAAACCTGACAATAGAGAACATTTATTTCATATTTAAACTCCACATCACCACATGTGAAAGTGAAACCAGTGAATCCTGTAACTGGAATCGCAGTAAAGTTAAGGCGTTATTTTAAGGGTAAAATAACAATTTTCGACACTGACTGTTGAGGCTTTGTTCTGAAAGAGAAGAATCTTCACTGTTAACAGTAAATTAATCGTGTGTCCGGAATGGCGATGTCCAGAGGTTTCGGTTTCTGTGGAAATCTGGTTATAGCCCCACAAACAGGGAAAGTGCAGCTCAAATATTCCCCACAATATAAAGTGGGGAAAAGTCCTGTGATGTTCAGTGTTGATGTTGAAAGCAGCTCCTCACATTGCTGTCTGGCCTGGTCACTCCTCACATTGCCGTCTGGCCCGGTCACTCCTCACATTGCCGTCTGGCCCGGTCACTCCTCACATTGCTGTCTGTCCCGGTCACTCCTCACATTGCCGTCTGGCCCGGTCACTCCTCACATTGCTGTCTGTCCCGGTCACTCCTCACATTGCTGTCTGGCCCGGTCACTCCTCACATTGCTGTCTGGCCTGGTCACTCCTCACATTGCTGTCTGGCCCGGTCACTCCTCACATTGCTGTCTGGCCCGGTCACTCCTCACATTGCTGTCTGGCCCGGTCACTCCTCACATTGCCGTCTGGCCTGGTCACTCCTCACATTGCCGTCTGGCCTGGTCACTCCTCACATTGCCGTTTGGCCAGGTCACTCCTCACATTGCCGTTTGGCCAGGTCACTCCTCACACTGCTGTCTGGCCCAGTCACTCCTCACATTGCTGTCTGGCCTGGTCACTCCTCACACTGCTGTCTGGCCTGGTCACTCCTCACACTGCTGTCTGGCCCGGTCACTCCTCACATTGCTGTCTGGCCCGGTCACTCCTCACATTGCCGTCTGGCCTGGTCACTCCTCACATTGCCGTCTGGCCTGGTCACTCCTCACATTGCCGTTTGGCCAGGTCACTCCTCACATTGCCGTTTGGCCAGGTCACTCCTCACACTGCTGTCTGGCCCGGTCACTCTTCACATTGCTGTCTGGCCCGGTCACTCCTCACATTGCTGTCTGGCCCGGTCACTCCTCACATTGCTGTCTGGCCCGGTCACTCCTCACATTGCCGTCTGGCCTGGTCACTCCTCACATTGCCGTCTGGCCTGGTCACTCCTCACATTGCCGTTTGGCCAGGTCACTCCTCACATTGCCGTTTGGCCAGGTCACTCCTCACACTGCTGTCTGGCCCGGTCACTCCTCACATTGCTGTCTGGCCTGGTCACTCCTCACACTGCTGTCTGGCCTGGTCACTCCTCACATTGCTGTCTGGCCTGGTCACTCTTCACGTTGCTGTCTGGCCCGGTCACTCCTCACACTGCTGTCTGGCCCTGTCACTCCTCACACTGCTGTCTGGTCACTCCTCACATTGCTGTCTGGCCCGGTCACTCCTCACATTGCCGTCTGGCCCGGTCACTCCTCACATTGCTGTCTGGCCCGGTCACTCCTCACATTGCTGTCTGGTCACTCCTCACATTGCTGTCTGGCCCGGTCACTCCTCACATTGCTGTCTGGTCACTCCTCACATTGCTGTCTGGTCACTCCTCACAGTTACCTTCAGTTCCGCAGCAAAAACAGCAACTGCTTAATTTCCGGGTTTGTTAAAACACATCGTTTTCTGAGAAATTTCCTTCATCTGATCTGTGTGTGTGTACAGAGAGAGAGTGTGTGTGTATAACAGTGTGTGTGCAGAGAGATAAAGAGTGTGTATGTGCACAGAGAGAGAGTGTGTGTGCACAGAGAGTGTAAGTGTGTGCAAACAGAGAGAGAGAGTCTGTACAAGACTGTTGTGTGTGCACACAGAGAGAGTACAACAGTGTGTGTGCAGAGAGTGTGTGTGTGCACACAGAGAGAGTATAACAGTGTGTGCAGAGAGAGTGTGTGTGCAGAGAGAGAGAATGTGTGCACAGAGAGAGAGAGAAATTATGTACAAGACTGTGGCGATGGCGATGTCCAGAGGTTTCGGTTTCTGTGGAAATCTGGTTATAGCCCCACAAACAGGGAAAGTGCAGCTCAAATATTCCCCACAATATAAAGTGGGGAAAAGTCCTGTGATGTTCAGTGTTGATGTTGAAAGCAGCTCCTCACATTGCTGTCTGTCCCGGTCACTCCTCACATTGCTGTCTGGCCCGGTCACTCCTCACATTGCTGTCTGGCCCGGTCACTCCTCACATTGCTGTCTGGCCTGGTCACTCCTCACACTGCTGTCTGGCCCGGTCACTCCTCACATTGCCGTCTGGCCCGGTCACTCCTCACATTGCTGTCTGGCCTGGTCACTCCTCACATTGCTGTCTGGCCCGGTCACTCCTCACATTGCTGTCTGGCCCGGTCACTCCTCACATTGCTGTCTGGCCCGGTCACTCCTCACATTGCTGTCTGGCCCGGTCACTCCTCACATTGCTGTCTGGCCCGGTCACTCCTCACATTGCTGTCTGGCCCGGTCACTCCTCACATTGTTGTCTGGCCCGGTCACTCCTCACACTGCTGTCTGGCCCGGTCACTCCTCACATTGCTGTCTGGCCCGGTCACTCCTCACACTGCTGTCTGGCCCGGTCACTCCTCACATTGCTGTCTGGCCCGGTCACTCCTCACATTGCTGTCTGGCCCGGTCACTCCTCACATTGCTGTCTGGCCCGGTCACTCCTCACATTGCTGTCTGGCCTGGTCACTCCTCACAGTGCTGTCTGGCCCGGTCACTCCTCACAGTGCTGTCTGGCCCGGTCACTCCTCACAGTGCTGTCTGGCCCGGTCACTCCTCACAGTGCTGTCTGGCCCGGTCACTCCTCACATTGCTGTCTGGCCCGGTCACTCCTCACATTGCTGTCTGGCCTGGTCACTCCTCACATTGCCGTCTGGCCTGGTCACTCCTCACATTGCCGTCTGGCCTGGTCACTCCTCACATTGCCGTTTGGCCCGGTCACTCCTCACATTGCTGTCTGGCCTGGTCACTCCTCACACTGCTGTCTGGCCCGGTCACTCCTCACATTGCTGTCTGTCCTGGTCACTCCTCACATTGCTGTCTGGTCACTCCTCACATTGCTGTCTGGTCACTCCTCACATTGCTGTCTGGTCACTCCTCACATTGCTGTCTGGTCACTCCTCACAGTTACCTTCAGTTCCGCAGCAAAAACAGCAACTGCTTAATTTCCGGGTTTGTTAAAACACATCGTTTTCTGAGAAATTTCCTTCATCTGATCTGTGTGTGTGTACAGAGAGAGAGTGTGTGTGTATAACAGTGTGTGTGCAGAGAGATAAAGAGTGTGTATGTGCACAGAGAGAGAGTGTGTGTGCACAGAGAGTGTAAGTGTGTGCACACAGAGAGAGTACAACAGTGTGTGTGCAGAGAGTGTGTGTGTGCACACAGAGAGAGTATAACAGTGTGTGCAGAGAGAGTGTGTGTGCAGAGAGAGAGAATGTGTGCACAGAGAGAGAGAGAAATTATGTACAAGACTGTGGCGATGGCGATGTCCAGAGGTTTCGGTTTCTGTGGAAATCTGGTTATAGCCCCACAAACAGGGAAAGTGCAGCTCAAATATTCCCCACAATATAAAGTGGGGAAAAGTCCTGTGATGTTCAGTGTTGATGTTGAAAGCAGCTCCTCACACTGCTGTCTGGCCCGGTCACTCCTCACATTGCCGTCTGGCCCGGTCACTCCTCACATTGCTGTCTGGCCTGGTCACTCCTCACATTGCTGTCTGGCCCGGTCACTCCTCACATTGCTGTCTGGCCCGGTCACTCCTCACATTGCTGTCTGGCCCGGTCACTCCTCACATTGCTGTCTGGCCCGGTCACTCCTCACATTGCTGTCTGGCCCGGTCACTCCTCACATTGCTGTCTGGCCCGGTCACTCCTCACATTGTTGTCTGGCCCGGTCACTCCTCACACTGCTGTCTGGCCCGGTCACTCCTCACATTGCTGTCTGGCCCGGTCACTCCTCACACTGCTGTCTGGCCCGGTCACTCCTCACATTGCTGTCTGGCCCGGTCACTCCTCACATTGCTGTCTGGCCCGGTCACTCCTCACATTGCTGTCTGGCCCGGTCACTCCTCACATTGCTGTCTGGCCTGGTCACTCCTCACAGTGCTGTCTGGCCCGGTCACTCCTCACAGTGCTGTCTGGCCCGGTCACTCCTCACAGTGCTGTCTGGCCCGGTCACTCCTCACAGTGCTGTCTGGCCCGGTCACTCCTCACATTGCTGTCTGGCCCGGTCACTCCTCACATTGCTGTCTGGCCTGGTCACTCCTCACATTGCCGTCTGGCCTGGTCACTCCTCACATTGCCGTCTGGCCTGGTCACTCCTCACATTGCCGTTTGGCCCGGTCACTCCTCACATTGCTGTCTGGCCTGGTCACTCCTCACACTGCTGTCTGGCCCGGTCACTCCTCACATTGCTGTCTGTCCTGGTCACTCCTCACATTGCTGTCTGGCCTGGTCACTCTTCACATTGCTGTCTGGCCCGGTCACTCCTCACACTGCTGTCTGGCCCTGTCACTCCTCACACTGCTGTCTGGTCACTCCTCACATTGCTGTCTGGCCCGGTCACTCCTCACATTGCCGTCTGGCCCGGTCACTCCTCACATTGCTGTCTGGCCCGGTCACTCCTCACATTGCTGTCTGGTCACTCCTCACATTGCTGTCTGGCCCGGTCACTCCTCACATTGCTGTCTGGTCACTCCTCACATTGCTGTCTGGTCACTCCTCACAGTTACCTTCAGTTCCGCAGCAAAAACAGCAACTGCTTAATTTCCGGGTTTGTTAAAACACATCGTTTTCTGAGAAATTTCCTTCATCTGATCTGTGTGTGTGTACAGAGAGAGAGAGTGTGTGTATAACAGTGTGTGTGCAGAGAGATAAAGAGTGTGTATGTGCACAGAGAGAGAGTGTGTGTGCACAGAGAGTGTAAGTGTGTGCAAACAGAGAGAGAGAGTCTGTACAAGACTGTTGTGTGTGCACACAGAGAGAGTACAACAGTGTGTGTGCAGAGAGTGTGTGTGTGCACACAGAGAGAGTATAACAGTGTGTGCAGAGAGAGTGTGTGTGCAGAGAGAGAGAATGTGTGCACAGAGAGAGAGAGAAATTATGTACAAGACTGTTGTGTGTGCACAGACAGATACAGTGTACAACAGTGTGTGTGCAGAGAGATAGAGAGTGTGCACAGAGAGAGAGAGTACAACAGTGTGTGTGCAGAGAGTGTGTGTGCACAGAGAGAGAGAGTACAAAAGTGTGTGTGCAGAGAGATAGAGAGTGTGCACAGAGAGTGTGTATGTGCAGAGAGAGTGTATGTGTGTGCACAGAAAGAGAGAGTCTGTACAAGACTGTTGTGTGTGCACAGAGATAGAGTGTACAACAGTGTGTGTGCAGACAGAGTGTGTGTGCAGACAGAGTGTGTGCACAGAGAGAGTACAACAGTGTGTGTGCAGAGAGTGTGTGTGTGTGCACAGAGAGAGAGAGTACAACAGTGTGTGTGCAGAGAGAGTGTGGGTGCAGAGAGAGAGTGTGTGCGCAGAGAGAGAGAGTGTGTGTGTGTGCAGAGAGAGAGATAGTCTGTACAAGACTGTTGTGTGTGCACAGAGAGATAGAGTGTACAACAGTGTGTGTGAAGAGAGAGAGTGTGTGCACAGAGAGAGTCTGTGTAAGACTGTGTGTGCACAGTGAGAGTGTACAAGTGTGTGTGTGTAGAGAGAATGTGTGCAGAGAGAGTGTGTGTACAAGAGTGTGTGTAGAGAGAGAGTGTGTGTCAGTGTGTGACATACAGAGAGTGTCTGTGTGCAGAGAGAGTGTACAAGATTGTTTGTAAGAGTGTGTGTGTACATTGTGTATGTGGTAGAGAGTGTGTATGTGTGTTCAGAGAGAGAGAGTACAAGACTGTGTGCACAGAGAGAGTGTGTGTGTGCACAGAGAGAGAGATTGTGTCCCAGTGTGTGTGTGTGTGTGCAGAGAAAGAGAGAATGTGTGTACAAGAGTGTGGTTCATACACTGAGAGTGTATAAAAATGTCTGTGTGCACACAGAGAGTGAACAAGAGTGTGTGTGCACAGAAAGAGAAAGTATAAAACAATGTGTGTGTGTACAGAGACAATGTGCAACAGTGTGTTTTTGCACAGAGAGGGAGTATAAGAGTGTGTGTGTGTGCACAGAAAGAGGGTGTGTTAAAGAGTGTATGTGTGTGCACAGCGAGTGTACAAGTGTGTGTGTATAGATGTACATTGTGTATGTGATAGAGTGTGTGTGACAGTGTGTCTCAATGTACACAGTGTGTGTGTGACTGTGGCTCAGTCTACACAGTGTGTGTGTGACAGTGTGTCTCAATGTACACAGTGTGTGTGTGACTGTGGCTCAGTCTACACAGTGTGTGTGTGACAGTGTGTCTCAATGTACACAGTGTGTGTGACAGTGTCTCAGTGTTTGTACAGTGTGTGACAGTGTGTCTTAGTGTGGACAGTGTGTGTGACACTGTCTCAGTGTGTGTGACAGTGTGTATAGTATGTGTGATAGTGTGTATCTCAGTGTAGTGTTTGTGACATCGTGTGTGTAGTGTGTGTGACACTTGATCTCAGTGTGTACAGTGTGTGCGCCTGACAGAGTATCAGACTGTGTGTACAGCGTGTGTGAAACAGAAAGAGCACATGTGTGTTTAGTGTGTGCGACAGAGTGTATAAGATTGTGTTTACAGTGTATAATGCAGTTAGAGAGAGAGAGTGTGTGAGAGGGTGTGTCTCAGTGTGCGACACCGTGTGTATATGAGTGTGGGTCAGAGAGAGAGTATGTGTGTCTCTGAATGTACAGTGTGTGTCACACTGTGTGTCTCAGTGGAGCAGCTGAATGGAGGGAGCGGACAGGTTGGTGGTGGGTCAACAGGTCAGAGATGTAGGAGGGGACAAGGCCGAGGAGGGCCTTGAAAGTGAGGACAAGGATTTTGAATTCTATCCTCTGAGGGACCTTAAAGGTTGAGGTGAGAGGAGAGGCGGTGGAGGAGGATGGAGTGGTCTATGGTATATCAAAGGCAGCAGAGAGGTCGAGGAGGATGAGGAGGCAGAGGGAGCCCTGGTCACAGATAGACAGATAGACAGATGTATCTGTACTCAACAGTAGATACAGTAATTAGAACAGTAAGAGGATTGCACTGTAATTAGATGGTAAATGATAACATTCTCCCACAGATGAATAAATGTTGATCCCAGGATAACCACAGCTGACGTGTCCCTGGATGTTGGCTTTGCAGGGACACCGCAGGCCCTGGGAGTGACTGATGTGGGTTCAGTTCTGTACTGAGTGACAGCAGCAGAGTCGCCATCAGAAAATACCAAATAATCAATAAAATCTCTGGGCTGTTTAACAGCCAGACTTTGACTTTCTGCTCCAGACTGTGTGTAACTGTTACTGAACTCCATTATAATTTAATCTCTTTACCTGCAGAAAGGTGAGTGTGTCCTTTTCCATCAGTTTCTGTAACTCTGACAGATTATGTTTTGTAGAATCTAACTTGTCCTGAATCTGTCGCAGATTATTCTCCATTTGGTGTAACATCTCCTCCTCTCACTCTCTGATCTCTCGGATTACACGCTCCTCTCTGTCAGTGAGGCTGTGGCGCATTTTAGCAAACTCTGCCGTGACGTGGTTCTCCAGACTGTTCGCCTGTTGCTGCAAAATGAAGCATCGGACATCACACTGTGCACAGTAAAGAGAGACACACGACTGAGAGCCCTGACATCAGTCCCGACACAACTTACCTTCACTTGTGAAATATTCTGTTTCTGTTTAACTTCAGCTCCAAGAGCAGTGGCCTTCCTCTGTGTGAGAGAAGCTAAGGAGGATTTCACTTTGTCCTGGAATTAAATACAAACAGTAAGAAAACTCTTGTTTAATTATTAGGACATAAGAAATGTGAGATGAATAAAGCCCAAAGTCCATCTAGTTTGCCTTCCATGTTCCTGGTGGTCACATGCACATATGTCCCGAACTATATGACATATATATATATATGACAGTTGGGTCGGGACCCGAGCAGGTGGGAAATGGTCAGGGTGAGGGGAGGGAAGGGAGGGAATGAGGGGGGAAATGGTCAGAGTGAGGGGAGGAAAGGGAAGGGAGGGAGCGAGGAGGGTGTAGAGAGTCGAGACGGGAGCTGAAGGCACGGTCGAAGGCACTGGACGGTCAGTGATCCACACCCTGGTTGTGTTCAGGAGGGTGGAGGGCAGGGAGGGTACGTGTATGAAGATGACCAAAGGCACAGTCGAAGAGGAGAATCTTGAGATGGGACTTGAAGGAGGCAACAGAGGGTGTGAGGTATGAGAATGAAACAAACACAGACTGAGATAAGACTGAGCACGATTGACAAGCTGGTGTTTTACCTTATACACCTGAACAGCCTCCTGTATTGGCATGAAGTTGCATTTCTGTTTTCTGAGCATCTCTACAAATCAGACAGATCAATTTCTTGTCAGTTTCACAAAACAGCTTCAGTTCCCCCTGATGCTCCTCACAGTGACCCTGACTTTCTCAGTGTCGGAGTCAGGCTTAGACATCGAATTCTCTCGAACAGATTCGCCAGAGCCCAATTAACCCTCAGGTTACTTTTACCATCAACCTGTCGACATTCAGGACAGGAGTTTGTCTCCTGTGTTTCCCGGCTCCGTGTGATACATCAACAGTAGATGTGGCCACACTCCAGGGAAACGGGATCAGTAAAGAGATCCAGACAAACAGGACACTTTAACTCCTCAATCCAGCTCTGGTCCTGGTGTCTCGAAGCCATGTTCACCTTCAGTTTTCTCTGGTTCTATCTCACACACTGTGGTCTGTGGTGTGTGTGACCCGCACTGTGACAGAGTTCACTTCACTCCTTTATCGATGACCTTTGGAGCTGGGATTGTGAATAACTTCTAGGATTAAACTGTGAAGACATTGATGTGTAAACAGAGCAAAGTTCATTCCAGTGTGGGTGAGGAGAGAGAGCGGCAAACCCAGATAACAAAGATAACAAACCCAGAGAGTGTGACACTGGCTACAACAATCTCAATCTCTCCATCACTCCCTCTGCTCCATCATTTGAGGTCACCTATTGAGCCTCTACACCCCGAAATTCTGGAACACTCTCCCTCAATACCTCTGCCTTCCCTCCTCTCTCACCTTTTTCAAGTCGCACCTGAAAATCTTGCTTTTTGACCGTGGCAATGGTCACCTCCCCCCCACCCCCATTTCTCCACTCAGAGATGTCAACCTCGTCCCCTTCCCCCCAAAGAGTTTACACGTTTGATGCTGAAAAACAGAAGTAATCGAAATGTAGAATTAAAGATGTTTTTGTTCGTATCTGGAATGCATTGCCTGAAAGGGGTGGAAGGCAATTTGAGAACAACTTTCAAAAGAGAAGTAGAGAGATATCCGGGGAGGACAAATTTGCAGAACTATGGGGAGAGAGCGGGGGAGTGGGATTGATTTGGAGAACTATTTCAAAGAGCCGACACAGACACAATGGGCCGATTGGCCTCCTTCTGTGCTGTCTAACTCCACGATTCTATGATTACAACACATGTTTGATTAGGGAACACGATTTTAAGGCAGAGCTTCACTGACTGTTCTGTTTCTGCAATTGCTGGAGATTCCCTTTTGTATCTTTTATGCCAATAAACAACGGTCTGTCTGTCTGCACTTCAAAAAGGATCTCAATAACCGACTAACGTAGAGACAATGATTTATACCTCATTGGAAATGACTTGTAACTGTCAGTCAGTCACACGTCAGGTTTGGGTTCGGGATCTCTTATCGTTCGTGAGTTATGGCCTAAAATGTACTTCAGCGTTCAAAATGTTTTTCACTGCAGTTACACCCGGTGGCCGCCGAGTCCGAGTGGCGCTGATGTGTACGTGAGCAAATGCCAATTGGTGCACAGGAATGTCTCACAACTTTTCCTGCGGTGAGAGAATGGTTTATCTGAGGGATTGTCAGTCGGGACACGGGACAGAGGAACTGCCTTCTCTTCTCGAGTAGCTCCGCGGCTCTTTAACGTCAACCTGAACAGCCACAGATTGGACATTGGTTTAACGTCTCACCCGAACAGCGCTCACCAGCACTGCACCAGAACATCAGCCCAGACGGCAAACAACAACAACACACTACACTTGTACAGCGTCCTTCATATTGGAAAGACGGCCCAGGGCGCTGGACAGTCAGGGGGTTTGGACCTGAGCTGGGAGTGGGGTCAGGGGGGGTGAAGGGCAGGGGTGGGAGTGGGGTCAGGAGGGGTGAAGGGCAGGGGTGGGAGTGGGGGAGGGAGAGTGGCCGAAGGCACTGTCGAAGATGGGACCTGTAGGAGGCAAATGAGGGGGTGAGATGGAGGGACTGTGAGATACAGTTCCGGAGTGTGGGAGCAGAGATACTGAATGCCCGACTGCCAATGGTGTGGTGGGAAGTGTGGGGGGACCTGAAGCAGCCGGTGTCTGCCGAGCGGAGGGAGCGGACAGACTGATGTTGGATTAGGAGGTCGGGAGAGGCAGAGGGGAGCAAGAACACGGAGGGCCTTGAAGGTGAGAACGAGGGTTTTATAATCGGTTCCCTGAGGGATTGGGAGCCAGTGAAGCCGAGCAGGAATGGGGGGGATAGGCTCGCGGAGCCCTGTGCTGGAGAGGACACAAGCTGCAGAGTTCTGAATAACCAGTAAGAGAACGGCAGAGATGATTCACCTGTAACGCTGGAGACCCCACGATAACCTGCCTGAGGATTCCTACCTGTGTGTGGGATTTCTCAGGTAGATTGTAAGAGTGCGATGTGTTTTGTGTCACAAATAATAAATTACTTAATTATTATTAACATTAAATATGTATTTAATGAAGCTGTGTGTCGTGTGTGTGGCTTAGCTGTCCTCAATGGCTCAAAGCGAGGGCGTGTGATTTCATACAATTCTCACCGGTTGTTATTTGTTTGCTGGATCACTATTCTGGAGATAATAATTTCTTCTTTAAAAAATATAAATTGGTCACCTCAATCCATGGTTGTTCATGGGGACGCTGCTGTGTGCAATTGGCTCTGCATTTCGCCCGCATCATATAATATCAATTCACTCTACAGCATATTCTGTTCACGCTCCTCCCCCCAGCATTGCACTGGAGTCACGTTAGACTCCAGCGTCCTGATGTAGGGCTCAAACCCACCACCTGGGGACACAGAGGTGAGCTTTGCTTTGACTGAGTATCACTCATTGAGAGAGGAATGTCCCTCATCACAAACTTGACATTGGGCTCAATCAGGAAAGCTGTCCAGGGGAGTTAGTCTTGTAGTTAGGAACTACAGCTGGTTTGACTAATAGGGATGTGAGAGCCTAAACAGAATAATCCTTCCATTTGTTGTAGCCCCTTATGACGTATTGAGACGTCTCAAAGCGCTTCATAACGTATATTGCAAAGTAATCTGGAGAAACTATTTCCACTGGTTGGTGGGTCAGTATCCCGAGGGAACCAATTTAAAATAACTTAAAAGAACCAGTGGAGAGGTGAGGAGAACTTTTTTCACCCACCGAGTTGTTGGGATCTGGAATGAATTGCCTGAAATAGTGGTGGAAGCCAATTCGATAACAACTTTTAAGAGAGAAGTAGATAATTATTTGGGGAGGACAAGTTTGCAGGGCTATGGGGAGAGTGCGGGGGAGAGGGACTGATTTGGACAGCTCTTTTCAAAGACACGATGGGCCAAATGGACCTCTGTGCTGTATTATTCTGTGAATTGACTCATTCTATTTTATGGGTGAAATGCAGCAGCCAATTGCATACAGCAGTGTCCCACAAACATTGAGTGACCATTACTTTTTTTTTGAGACATTATTACCCACCAAAAGTGATCAGGCTAATAATCCACTCAAAAATAATAATAATAATTTGATCACTCAATGCACGACTGTTTGTGGGACACTGCTATGTGCAAATAGCTGCCGTGTTTATGTACAGTCACTATACTTTATATATTGTTTGAAGCATTTTGAGACATTTCAAAGACTTGATGAGGTCCTATATCAAAAAATGCAAGGATTATTATTATTATAATTATTGGTGCAAATGGGACTGTTAATATACAATTCAGAAATGATTTGACAATGAAGATGGTGCACAAAATGTCCACATCCTGTCCACAGAAAATAGTTGTATTGAGAAGTTCAAACATACTGAGAAAAGTAACATCTATTCAAGTGTAATGTGACAGTGTTGTTGGTCTGGTTGACCTGTCACTGAAAACTATTTAGAAACCAATCACACGGTGTGAACATAACTGCAATAGCAAAATAATAATATTCATTATTATTTGGTACAGCACCTGAACACATGATTGAGATGTCCCAAAACACTTTACAGTGTAATGTAGTGACTGTGTGCTTTGTAGGCAATTGTGTCAGCCAATTTCCACACAGCAATATCCCACAAACAGCCGTGGAGCGAGTGACCAATTTTATTTGGAGGAGTTGTTGGCCAGGATACCGGGAGAGAGAATTCCCTTCCCTTTTGAACTGGGCCTGTAAACCCCATCTTAACCGTAATGTTAACAGAGATTCAATACCAGGACAAGATCACAGGTTTTCCAAGATTGGTTTAGCTGAAGAAGGACTTTTGTTCCACCTTATCACATCCTCCCAGAACATCCATCCCAATGTCCCCAACCATCCCCGCCTCCTCCCCCCCAACCCCCCGCCTGCACCCCCATCACTGCATTGAGCTGTTTTTTCGATACGTCCAGTGTCCTGGCTTTAGCCAGACTTCCTGACAACATGGTCAAGTTGTTAATTACCCTCTTGTCAGATGTATCCAAACTGCAACAGTTAACCTCAGTGAGACATCAACAAAATTACATTTGTAAAGCGCTTTCACATCAGGAGGACATCCCAAGGTGCTGGACAAATAGAGTTTCGGACCTGACC